AGGCATTCATCCAGTGGTGGATTGATCATGGCTGATATTGATGTACACTATAGGCGGCAATCACTGCATTGAGTAAGCCATATCTAGATGCTTAAGGTGCAACATTGCGTTTTGCCTGACAGGCATGGTGAAAATGTTCAATCACACTATTGTTGTACATAGCTCAAACATCAGGGGTAGTACATAAGTTATCATAAATAAGGCAGGTTAAAATGAAAATGTTACATCGGGGGAACACTGACTGTAAAACAATTATTCAAGGACTTTATAAATGGGATGTTAGATACAGGAACGTGAACAAAGTGGGAAGAGTCCAACTTAATGTTTCAATGCAACTTAATTTCAAAGCAGCAAAGTGCATTTCCCCGTATCTGACATTTAATTTGAATGGTGACTGGGTTTTCACCCTAATTACCTATCTTGCTCAGCATGTAGCCTTTGTAGTCATGTGATATGCAGGAGGGTGGCCGTTCGTAGGGTGCTGGTTGGTGAAGCCTTCAGTGCAGCATCAGGTGAGTACAGTATGCACGTTTTTCGCTATTTTCTTATACTTATTCTGAAAACATCTGGCCCCTATATACTGAATTATCTCTCCTAAATGTTACAGCTCTACAAAATGCAGTGCATCGTTCTTTGATTTATATCCTCTTACATATTAATCTATTACACTGGTCAAAAAAAATAAATTCTGGCCTGGACTTTTGCAGCTGTTTTAGACTAATTTCACGGTGCTGATTCTAAATCTGATCTCAGATTTGCTGTATCTCATCTAATTTTTATGCTATCGGCATACCCCGTTTTCATTGATTTTACCCGAAAATAACTCTGTCACTTATGATTGCAAGTTGTTGTGAGTCAGTGACTGCTTTAGTGTTAAAATATGGTGCTGTATTTTTAGGATAGTGTGTTTATATATCATTTTATGTAGATATCCACATTTATTTAATATTTTTCTTCTGCAGTTTTGCAGTATTGAAAATTCAATATTTGATATCTCAAAAACCCCAAAATTACCTTAAAACCGTTGGAATACCTCATGCCAGAAAAAGTGTGTTGACCAGTGTTATCGTGTGTCTTCTATTTCATCAAACATTTCCTGTCATCTCGCTTCTATCTCATGTAAATACCTTTCTCTATCTCTTACATCTCATGTGAATGCATCTCCTGTAATCTCTCCTATATTTTATTCATGTTACTCTCTCCTTTTGCAAATACAGAACTCCCAAAATCCTCAGTGATATTGGAGTGTCTCATGGGTCCCGTAATCCATGGCACAGTGTGATATTACTCTAAAAATCTGTGATTTTAGGAGTGTTTAGTCACATGACTCCTAATATTCCGCAAAAATTAAGGATTTTAGGAGTAGCAATAAGCTGCAAAAAACGTGGATTATGAGTTTTGCTATTTGTTTTGGAAACTCAAATGGAGAAAATCCATGTGGCGATGCTCTTGCCAAGCTCTCTCCGAGCTTACATTTACATGCAAATTTCTTACATTGACATGCTAATCTCTCACAATATAATGGCCACCCCCACAGCTTCGTTTGTCAAGATTTACCCGATCTTATTACACAGACACGATTTCAACCGAGAAGATGGGTACAAACTGAGCAATCATTGGAAGCACGTTATTAACCAGTTTAGGTAATAACTGGCTGTGATGTTCCCTCCCTACCTACCTATATTAGCAGTTATTTTGAACTCTCTGAGTTACATTCACTAACACAGCCACCGTTTAGCTGTATTAGTAAATGGCGGCTTTCTATCTTTTTCCACCTCCATGTGGTGATGCTTTTGCCAAGCTCTCTCCGAGCTTACATTTACATGCAAATTTCTTACATTGACATGCTAATCTCTCACAATACAATGGCCACCCCCAAAGCTTCGTTTGTCAAGATTTACCCGATCTTACATTTGCATGCAAATTTCATCTCTGGCCCCTCCCACTGACCAATGGGCTACACCCATCCAAACCTTTATAACTCCTTACCTTAGCAGTGCTCACACCATAAATTCTCAGCAGCTCTCCCGCGATATTTCTCACTTGATGACGATTTCTTGTGTTGCGATCGAAACGTCTTGATATTGTTATTATTTTAATATTTTATTTTATTTGTATTCTTTGATCTATCTACGTGGCTTTATTGAAAGACCCAAGAATATAAAAATCTGCTATCGTTTGGTTTTGGAGTTGTTTAGACTCACAATACAAAGTGGATTTAAGCGCATACATTATCAGAGTTATGTTTTTTGTTTGCATTATGACTGCAGGTATTGTGGTCTATGCAAACATAACTCCTCGTAAAAAAAAGTGTCAGTTTTTTTGCCAGATAAAAGGGTAAAAAAACAATTATCATATTGGATTTAATATATTCTTTGGGTCTTTCGGTAAAGTGACGTAAAGAGGTTCAAAGAAAATAACAAAAAACTACGACGTTTCGATCACAACACAAGCGGTCGTCTTCAGGAAAAGGGGGGTTAGCTTCCAAAGGCAAACTGTTTATAAGGGTTTGAAATGGGCTTAGCCCAAATGTCAGCAGCTAATGTTAATGCAAGTGGTGGACAGCCAACCCCACTGTGGTTGGTTTTCCACCAATCAAAGGGCTGCCAGGTGAAAATTAGCATGTTAATGAGAGATTAGCATGTTCATGTAAAATAACAGAACCGCTACCGAGGGGTAGTCGGCGCGCGAAGTGGTTGTGTTGGTGTGAATCCTGTGAAAGCGCAAGTTTGAAATGGGCGTAAAGCCCAACTAACATCGGAAGGTGGTAGGATGGGAACATCATAGCTTCTATTATCCCAATCAAATTACTACGTCAGCGCAATCTGTGCAACGTCGAGCCAAAAAAACATTTCCATTAAAAACTCCGTTTATCTATCTACATCCACGTTTGTCTCTGCAGCTTCATCTCTCTCTGTATCTCAGAGACAGATGCGTTCCAAGCACTTCAAACACATCTCTCCAACATTTTAAGCCACTGGCTTCAAAGAAGTCCACTGCGCTTAACATTTTCATTCTGATAGCGGTGTCTTGTGATTATAATAAATTCGCCTCTATAATCCAAACTTTTGCGGCTTATCGGAGTTTTTAACTGTCCTCCAAAACATCCGCAATGTTTTTGTGGATTTTTGGATATACGGGAACTACCACGAACCTGAGGGACCACGAATTTTAGGAATTACGAATTGCTGGAGGACGGATTTTTTGGACGTTCAACTGTACATCTCTCTTATCTCTCATATATCTCATCTGAATACATCTCTTATATAAATCCAAAATAATTTCAAATCAAAAGTTGTAACTTTATTCCGTAGCATTATATGCTGTATGTGCATATTTAAAATGTATGATATTGCTCGTAATACTGTATACTGTAAATATAACAATGTTTACGTTATGTAATATAGGCTGTATGTCTGTTGCCCTTGTTCTTGGCATGTTAGTCAATCTGGCCCTCCATATAAAAAAATGTGGACACTCCTGATTTACGTACACACTTATTACGGGCATGTATGTGTTTGTACATGTTCAACGAGCGTTTATATAATATTCAAGTGTTCATGCAATATCGACAGTATTAAAACAACAAATGTAATGCTATAATAAATACTGTACTTGTTGTTTCGTTTTCATGATGACATGAAAAGAATGTTGTGATTAAAGGGTCCAATACTCAACGTTTCAACACATCACAAAACACTGACAATTGTTTTAAGATTTATATATTATGCCCATGCAAATGCACAAAGAATTGACAGTTAACACTGATTCATATGCAGACAAGCACGTTGAAATATGTAAGTGTATTATTTAAATAGATTTTGATAATGTGTGACTGTGGTCTTACAAAAAGATAAAAATATATCCATCAGAGTACTGCACAATTATCAATAACACATCGTACAACACAGTATTGGCAGTGAGAACGGAAATGTAATTATTCCAAAACATTGCGATTGTATAAAATCAAACTTCTTTTGTACAGCACTTACTGCTTCAGTGTACAGCTACATAAATGGCCAAAGATAAACATGTACGCTACTAAATTTACCATTCTGCAAAATAATTTGAACACCTTACATCACAGCTCACCAGATGTGCTTTATTTAAAATATGCATACACTTGATTATTATTTTCGTAACTTAAATGTTTGTGAGGCAGCTGAATATCGTGATTATGTTCGGTGCCCTTGTAAGCATCAGAAACATATCTGTATGTAAATAATGCTATTTCATTATGAAAAATCCACAGACAATCCGAATCATTCTGTACCCGTGCTTCTCTTATTGTTTACTGTTACAACGTCATGATGCGGTGTCCCAATTAAATGTAACAAAAATAAGCTCCTCCTGCTCCTGCAAGTCACACTAATAGATGGAATGGATATAGCAATAAGGTGAAGTGCTTTGATGTGATAAATGTTGTGTGAAAAAGTAAAAATCTGAGAATAGGATTTTCCCCTTGCCAGATAAAAAGTGGAAAAACCTATTATCATATTTTGGTACTGGCAAAGGAGGTCCATGATGAAGTAAAAATGTATTAAACATTTCTTCCAATGTCAGTATAGGGCTCTAGAAATAAAGTGCTGTTGCAGGATATTCCATAAGAGGAAGTAAAACACACAACATGAATAGGGCAAGAATATATAAATGAAGGCATGTGTGTGCATAGTGACTTCTGTTACTCCGAGACGCACTTGCAGTGATAGAGGTGATTAAGCACCCTAATGTAAAAAATTACAGTGCTGCCAGGTCAAAATACTCAAAATACTCCCTCGAGTACCGTTAGGTGAGGCTAAGATGCTTGCAGTGAAGGACAAATATTATCTTCAGGCTGTTTCAAAGTAGTAGGCCTGTATGAAATGAAGGTGACAGGCCAGTAGTTTCCAACCTCTAGTCGAAGGAAATGTGTGTGTGCACGTGTATAAGAGTATGTGTGTGTGTCAGAGTAGTAGTTTGTGCACTGTTCTATGATCGCAGAAAAAAAATGGTAGCCTTACTGTCAGCATCCGTGAGTCCCAAGATGAAGAGTAGGAAAGGTAAGCAGATGAGCAGTGCAGGCAGCGACAGCCTCTCCGTAAGCCCCATTTTACACGACATCCACACGACCACCGAAGCGTCTGTCTCGTCAGCCAGTAGTGTCAGGTGATGGCGTTTAATCTGAAACGCAAAGTGAACACGATGGGGCACAGGTGAAAAAGTTAACTGCTAGGTTGAATGGGCCAAGTTAAAATCCCCAGCCACGGTTGACTCAGGCAGCAGCAGCAGCAGCGGCATCACATCAAAGACATAAAATCAGCAGCAGCATCGGCGCCATCATTTTAAATCGTATCAAAATCAACATTATTATCACCACCAACAGGATCATATTCAACAATATTATTTACAACATTGCCATCAGTAGCATCAGCAATATCACCATCATTATAATCAACAGCACACCATTATCATCATGAGTATCAGTGTCATTATCACGATTATCAGTGTCGAAGTACTCATCATTAGTGGTATCATCATCATAATCAGTGACGTATGTATGGCTTCAGGCATGTTGGATATCGCCATCAAGTTACTGTGATAAACATGTGATCTAGTCCAGACAATTACCGTATTTTCCCGCATATAACCCGCGGGGTATACCACTTTTTACAAACAAGACCCTGTGGGGTATATGGAGGTGCAGGCTATCCCAAAAATATTTGACACATGTGACATGTCATAACTCGTAAAAAAAATTCATGGTAGGACTATCCACTATGCAACACTTACCTTTGACTAAAGCACTGCTGAATAAACCACTCACACTAAAATTGCCCATGTTATCACGTTTTTAATTATTCGAATTGTTTGTACAATGAAACGACAATGTATGAAATGGGCGCACTTTGTTTACTGTAATACTTTCAGTGGCTGTAGGGGGGTGCGAAAGTTTCAGCTGAGGCTATGGATTGCACAATGGGAAGGGCCTTAACAAGCGTCTACCAGACGCGGAATCATAATTGCTGAGTCCCTTAGGTCGCTGCTTTTGGCTGAGCACTATACAGTCGCGAGCATGAGCTTTGTTTCAAACTTCCAATGGCTTTGTTGCCAGGAGGCAATGGCGTTACCGTAGTACCGCTATTGTCTGCGCAGTGCGCAATCTACCAGTGCTAAAACTGTACAGAGGTAACTACCGGTCCAGTAGCTGTACTATGATGAGGTCGAATGCTGGTAAGCCTAACAGTATTCTTACTTACTTATCTACCAGTTATGTGTTACTTATTTATTGGATATTTACTTTTGTTACTTATTTACTGTTTTAAGTTCACTCGTTTCTGGTTAGTTTATTTTCTTTGTGCACGTTATGATTTTTATGTTAACAATTGATAGTGGAATGTATTACAAATGTAAACTTTGTATTAATATGATGGAATGAAGCTGCGGTAACGACGTTAAAGATATGAATGCATGCGGGGTATATGGAGGTGTGGGCTATCTGAAATTTGTTTTACACAAAACGCTATTTTTGCGGGGTATATGCGTCTGCGGGATTAACCCTTTCCATTTCGAGACGGCTGCAAGCTGCAGGGTGGGTCCTGCTCACTGCTGAATCTCGGAACGCGTAAGCGGTTCCGCATACATTTTATTTAGAGAGGCATAGCGCTGTTGTTATTAAAGGCAATGTACTCACCGCAGAGAACTGTAGCGACACGACCGCACTCTATGACAGCTGGCGCCCAAATGTGTGACATACCCTCCCACGTGGCCTTGTGGGAGACTTGGTACCGATAAAGTTATTTTATTTTACATGTATGTCATCAGAATGGAATCGGAAAAAAAACTGATGATGTACATGTCTGTCTTTCGCACCATACATATCCAACCGTACTAATTGGAGGTGTGGGGAAAAGACAACAAGCTAAACACAAAAAGCAATTAAAGCACATTAAAGACACCACTAAAGTGACATCATCTTCTAGAGGCACCTGAAGTGACATTACAACTGCTTTTTGCTCGAGTTTCAAATGGAAATTAATTGGTCTCATGAAAGGATATTAATAGAATAGTTGGAATAAAATTTGGAGAAAGACAAAATATTTGAAAAAAGGGAAAAGTGAAACCTAATGGTGCCTTCGACCTCTATGAGCACCAGAAATAACCTTCAATACACGGGAATTTTAAAGGTGCCAGAGGAACTGTTTAAGGGGGTGTTTAAAGTGTTTTTTTTACAGAATCCTGCTATAAAGCACACTGGCTTCTAGGCACTGTGACTGGAAAGCAGTAGTTGAGATTAATAGCATCTGCTATGAGGAATGTTTGATAATGTGTCCTGTGGAATCACATGACTCCCTCAAACACATATAGGTACAGATAAAACACACACACAGATAAGAGAGATCCCCAATAGCCTTAACAGGCTGTTGGGGCAAGGGCTGTTTACGGGCACATACCCGGCCGCCTATGTCTCCACAATATTGATTTTACAAACCACACCATTTAAGGTGGAAACCAGTTGAGATGTTCATCACTGATGATGACTGTGAACAGGAGTCGAACTCGGGTCGCCGGGATATAAATATACTCACGCAACCCAAATATATTTACACACATACACAAAATCAGACACACTGATACGCACGCACACATAGGCCTAATTTACGCTACCCACTGGCTTCAGGACTAACCAAATTAGCAGGTACACCAGATCAGCCCCGGCCAGCACACTTCCCATACACAGTTTATCATACAAACGAGGACGTGCACAGGACATATTGTATCACATCACTGTAATCATAGATGATTATGTAATTTTGTATCATTTATTTTATTATAATTTGTAGAATATTTTACGCACCATCTAATTTATTGTGTGTATTAGGTGTTAGATTATTTCCGAGCTGGACGTTTTATTCTGCCCTCACCGATTGCCAAAACCACATCGTAAGCCTGATGCGCATGGTAGTATGGCTACACTGGCCTTGCTAGCTTTGTATCAGCACCTACTATCCGAGAGGATCCACCAGGAGGCTACGTACGTGAGGCTGGTGGCACTGCTAAGCAGGAGTGGACGTACTGCCCCAGTGAGCCTCCATGGTCTTTATGGACGCAAAGAGATAATATAAACACAGTTATAGATACGTACAGACTCTTGCACACAAGTAGCTACATTCATAGATACACATAAACACACAGATAAAGACATACACACACAAACATTTCACGTAATCACAGATGCATACCGATATACACACGTAGAGACATACAGAAACATTGACACTCATATGCATATATACTGTATATACACACAGGGCTTAATTTCTCACTTGATATTTCCCAAAACACTACTAGGCTGCTTTGGAATAAGGATTATCAGTATGAGGCACTTCTGCTAAGTGTAAGGTACAACACCTATCCATAACAATGCTATATTATTGCATCTTATATTCTCATGGAGTCATCCCTGTAGTAAGCTTCCATAAAAAAAGTATAAAAGAGCAAAAAACACATTGTTATGAGATTTGGGACCAATTTCTAACACATCATCATGAGTAAAATGTGTGATAGTTTGTACATTAGCGGTCAGAATTACATATTGATGAATTGGCCAAAAAACACATCATGATGGTGATTTTATCCATTGCTGGTAATGGAAACATCAGCCCAATTTCACAAAAAATCACACAGTTACATTCACCATCATCCAAATCTGGCTCCAGATGCTTAACTCGCTTTCTGTTAAATTGTCTTATTGCAGTAGCGTACTTTAATAATACTTTTATGAGCAAAAATAATTGTAGTAAAGAACCTTTTTGAATAAAACCTTGCGCAAGATGAAGCTATTTTCACCACGATGAATTTCAGCATGATTCCAGACTGCATGGCGTTGCCAAAACATAAATATTGTCTCAAGATACAACACTCACGGCAGGACAACGTAGTTTTATCTTGTAATCCCAAATCTGTACTCACAAAAAGCAGTCAGTCATCACCAAGTCTCAAGGGTCACATGAAGAATTAAAATCCTGCCCGTGCTGTTTGGTCAATGCTTATTGAAGCTGTTTACACACTTTTATTATTACACACTTTATTGAACTTGCCGTGTTGTCTGTTCATAGTCTTTGGAATATTTGATGCATATATTCGATCTACGAACCCTGACGAGCTGAAATTTTCTACACAGACTCGCCTCGCCTGACAATTGAAGATTTCATTAAAAAAAAACGGTCCAGGTCCCGGCCATCGTGGTCCTCTTCGTGTTTTTAACTACATTTTAATAATTAATAACTGTACATTTTACCCCCCCCCCCCCCCCTGTTTGAAATCACGAATGCTCGCCCCCACCTACGAGGGAAAACGTCTGGTCCAATGACAGCGGCTGTTGCTGGCCAGCCTATGACCAATGAAAGAAGTGCTTATATCGCCACTCGTCATCGCGCCGGAGCGGCCACTGTGATTCCCTGTTCCTTAGGGCGAGAGCAACAAGTATAAAAAAAGGGTTTAAAAAAAACAAGATTTTCAATGCACTGAAACGTAGAAAATACATTATTTTGACCCCGGAATTAATCAAATTTGATGTGCTCAATAAAAGTGGGTGGCTACCTTTCGATATGTATAATTTTCTTTATGCAAATTTTCTTTACGCAGGCCATCCCCTGGGTCATGTCCATGGAAAAGGTAGTATTATGAATTTATGGCAAATTCTGGGTACTCCTTGTATTTGCATAAGTGTATTGTTATCGTTACCATGACAATACATTCCAGGAAACTCCTATCCACACATCAGTGTAACTAGTATTTTCACCAACACTGTCATGATTACCATGATCATCATCATTATCCCTGACATGTTTCCAACACATTTAGGATATCGCAGGTTATCTTTCAACACAGCAGGACACAGCACAGGAGTCATCCTGAAACAGTAGGACAAAGTAGGAATCGTCTGAACACAATGATACACAGTATTATTCATCCCGACATTTGGGAATGTAGTATCAATCATCACGAAATAGGGCATGGTATGAGTCATCTCGACATAGCTGGATATACTGTAGTAAAAAATCATCCCGACATAGCGGGACATAGGATGATTCATCCCAACATAGCGGGACAACGTGCGAGTCATCCTGACATTGCAGGGCATACTCTGAGTCATCCCGACATAGCACAGTTGTGAGTCA